TTTTAAGAGTTTCATCAGCCGTCCATCAAGGCATTTCATGTAAGCTATCCATGAATAGTCTTTGTACACTCTTCCTTGATAATATCTCTGGTTTCAGTCAATAGTTCTTCTGGTTCAGTTGAACTTAATAATTCAAATCTGTTCTTTACGTGGTCTTCAAGAATGTTGCTTAGATATGAATGTTTTTAGTGTTTTTCTGCAGCTTTATTCTGATTTTTGATGCACGGCCTGCTCCACGATCTGCTCCTGGTCTTGTTTTCACAGAGAGAGCAGAGCCTTCTCCATCTTCTGCTTCCAATTATACTATTTGATTTCTGATGTCATCATCTTGGTTGTCTGAAATATGCGTTCTTAATGAACAAATTGTTGTCTCCACAGAATTCTATGAGATGCTCTCCTATGTAAATAACTGCTAGAGGTGTATTCTGCAATCTGGAACATTTAGATATTACCAACTTCAGTGGCATGGAGGGGACCTGTAGTACAGATGAGCCATTATCAATGGTGCAAATCAGTTTTCATTTGTAAGCTGGCATGATTTCTATCAATATGCTAGTAAGTCGTCACCAAACATATAATTGATGCATCTAACCCACCAGTGTGGAAGGAGAATAAACGTGTAAATGCATTAAATGGGAACATGGCTGCATTTTCTTTTCAGGGGCTCCTTTGTGAACTCTGAGCAGTTTGCATCCCAGATGGTGCGCTTTAACCAAGCATTTGTCTAAGAGATGGGCCTGCATTGTTGTGAGGCAATTCATTTGCATCACCTTTATAGTGCATCTGTTCGTTCTTGTTTGAGGATCTGATACAGGTGGAAAAGGAAAGAGCGGCATTAGCAAATCATGAATGAGGCAGATAACTGAGCCAACTTTGGTTTGCTTGCACTTTCTTTGACAAAGTTGCCTGGTATCTTTTGTGTGCTTGCTTAAATGTTTCCTCATATTCCCAGAGGTTCCTGTAGGTACCCTGGTGCCCGTTCAGTTGTCATCATCTTACAGACTCCATTTTCAAAGAAAAGCAGTAGTTAAGGAGAAATGCATTTCCACAGTGATGCCAGCAGTGTGGAGTGAGGGCGGCATTTGACATTGAAAACTTTTCCAAACTTTCCAAGTTCAGATCCATACTCAGCCATGAAGTTTATTGGATGGTCTTGGGCCAGCCTCTCTTGCTCTCTCACATCCCAGCAGAGTTGTGATGATAAAATGGAAGACTGTGTATGCCTCCCCGGCTCTTGGAGGAAGTGATAGATTCAGCTAGCTGAAGGCTTTTCTACTTGTGTTCTGCCAAGCAGCAGTGTACCCCCCAAAATATGCACACAAATGCCATACAACAAGCCTCATGTGTGTTTGTGACAGGGATATGGGGTACAGCTGTTTAAAGAAAACAGTGCCCCCCCCCCAGTTTGCACTTAAAGTAACTTTTGAGATCCTAGCCAGCATGCCTGAAATGTTATCTTCCATTTCTGCTCCAATTATTCAGATCATTTTTTTCAGACTTTATTTAGTGGAAAACCCTTAAGTGGTTATACATCTACATGCAGCCTGTTTCTATTCAAAAAGCTTCATGAGATCTGCACTATTCAGAAAAGATCCACAGTGACTTATGTTATGTTGGAGCCTCTATCTGTGACCATGTTCTAGGATGGAAAGCAACTTTGACACGACCACACTGACATGGTCACATTTTACACCATCTAAGTGTGGGTGAGCAATGTGCACCTCCTGAACTTGTTGGAATTGGGAGCATCTTTCTAACCATCATAATTGCATCTCGTGGTGAAAAACACTAAAGGATTAGAAGTAAGAAAGTGACACACAATTGTAATTCATTATCTGTGTCCGTATATCAAGAATTAGTGCTAGTTTTGGAGATAGTTGTTTCATAGGGTTGCCATAAGTCAAAGTGACTTGACAGCACTGAACACACATGGATTGCTAGTTGGAATACTAAGAACTGCAGAACAAGAATATTGTGTGATGAACCAGCATGTTTGCAAAGGTTCATTGTTTATTGCTATTAGCCTAAGTATGTAAACTATATTACTTTTCTTCCAAAATTACTCAAAAGACCTGAAAAAGGGACTTGTTTTGACACAGCAGTGAAGAGAGTCTCTTGTTTTGTTGTTGTGGTAGTTGCTGTTAAGTCACAGCTGACCCGTGGTGACCCCATAGGGTTTTCAAGGTAAGAACTGTGTACAAGTGGTTTGCCATTGCTTGCCTGCACATCACAACCCTGGACTTCCTTGGTGGTCTCCCACTGGCCAGGGCCAACTCTACTGGGCTTCTGAGATCTGATGTGATCAGGCTAGCGTGTCCAGTTATTCTCTCTGCTCCTGATCAAATGTTCTTCCATTGCCTAATTTTTTGTTGTTTTGAACTGTACCTGTCTGTCAGCAGCAAATGCTGGCTCAGATAAATCCTTCTCTGCAAGATATTCCTCCTCCTCCCTCCTACAGCAGCCTGCAATGTCCCTGTAGTTGCCATGGGAGGGGGAAGGCAGGGAAATCACTCTCCATGGGCAGATGGCTTTCTGCCCAATGGAAGCATCAGTGTGGATTGAAGCATCTGCACCTGCCACATCTCGTCAGTGATCATTTAACTTTTTGGTCCCCAAGCTAAGGTCTGCTACTAGGTGCAGATTAGAAGAACAGCAGTCAGTAGTGTAGTGGTTCCTTGGCACCTTTTGCCCTTGAGGAAATGAGGGGTGCAGAGAAGGAAATCATAGAATCATAGAGATGGAAGGGACCTCCAGGGTCATCTAGTCCAACCCCCTGCACAATGCAGGAAATTAACAAATACCTCCCCCTCCACACCCACAGTGACAGCTGTTCCATGCCCAGAAGAAGACCAAAACCCTCCAGGATTGCTTCCTGACCCCAAAGTAGCAATCAGCATTTCTCTGGGCGTGTAAAAAAGGGCCACAAGAACTAAGCACTGAGGCAACCCTTTCTGCCCTCCCTCTCATGATCTGCCTAAGTTCACAGAATCTGCATTGCTGTCAGATGGCCATCTAGCCTCTCCTTGAAAACTTCCAAAGAAGGAGAGCCCACCACCTCCTAAGGAAGCCTGTTCCACTGAGGAACCACTCTGTCAGGAAGTTCTTCCTAATGTTTAGCCGAAAACTCTTCTGATGTAATTTCCACCAGTTGGTTCTTGTCTGACCTTCTGGGGCAATAGAAGACAAGTTCGTACCATCCTCTATATGACAGCCCTACAAGTAATTGAAGATGGTTATCGTATCACCTCTCAGTCGTCTCCTCTCCAGGCTAAACATATCCAGCTCCTTCAACCTTTCCTCATAGGACTTGGTCTCCAGACCCCTCACCATCTTCGTTGCACTTCTCTGGACGCGTTCCAGCTTGTCTTTATCCTTCTTAAATTGTGGTGCCCAAAACTGAACACAATACTCTAGGTGAGGTCTAACCAGAGCAGAGGAAAATGGTACCATCACATCTCGTGATCCGGACACTATACTTCTGTTGATACAGCCCAAAATCACATTTGTCTTTTTAGCAACCACATCACACTGCTGACTCATGTTCAGTGTATGGCCTACTAAGACCCCTAGATCCTTTTTGCCAAGACAAGTCTCCCCCAACCTATAATTATGCATTTGATTTTTCCTTCCTAAATGCAGAACTTTACATTTATCCCCATTGAAATTCATTAAATTTCTTTTAGCCCAGTTTTCCAGCCTGTCAAGATCATCCTGTGTCCTGACTCTGTCTTCTACTGTATTTGCTACCCCTCCCCATTTAATATCATCTGCAAATTTAATAAGCATTCCCTCTATCCCTTCATCCAAGTCATTGATAAAGATGTTGAACAAAACAGGACCCAGGATAGATCCTCCACTTGTCACTCCTCTCCAAGAAGATGAGGAACCATTCATAAACACTCTTTGGGTGCGATCTATCAATCAGTTACAGATCCACCGAACAGTGATAGGATTCAAACCACATTTTCCCAATTTGTCAGCAAGTATCTTATGTGGAACCTTATCAAAAGCCTTACTAAAATCAAGATAAACTATGTCCAGAGCATTCTCCTGATCCAGCAAGTTAGAAACTTTCTAAAAAAAAAAGGATAAGGTTAGTCTGACGTGACTTGTTCTTGAGAAACCTATGCTGGCTCTTAGTAATTACAGCTGTGCTTTCTAAATGCTCAAGGACTGTCTGTTTCATGATTTGTTCTAAAATGTTCCCAGGTATAGATGTCAAGCTGACGGGCCAGTAGTTACCCGGATCCTCCTTTATTCCCTGCTTGAAGATGGGGACAACATGTGGCTGCATCCAATCTTCTGGCACCTCACCTGTTTTCCAAGAATTCTCAAAAATAGTGGACAGAGGTTCAGAAATTACATCTGCAAGTTCTTTTAGTACCCTTGGATGCAGCTCATCTGGCCCCGAAGACTTCATTTCATTTAAAGAAACTAGGTGTTTATGTACTACCCCAATGTCAGTCCTCGGCTGCAACTCCCTTCCCTCATCATGTGTTCTGTTTTTGCCCCGTTGCGCATCATTTTCCTTGCAAGAGAAGACTGAGGAAATGTAGGAATTGAGCAGTTTTGCCAATTTGTCAAGTATATGGCAAACTTTTGAGACACACTAAACTGTAGACATACAAGTTCAGAACTGAAAAAGTCTCACTAGTTCCTGCAGGCACACAGCTGCATATGGAAAATATATAGCGGTGTGAGTGCTGGACTAGGATTTGGGAAACCCTGGTTTGAATCCCTGGTTCACCGTGGAAGCTCCCTGGGTGACCTTGAGCCAGCCTCGCAGGGGGTGGTTAGGGTGAGATGTCGGGCAGGAGGACGTAAGCCACTTTGGGGTCCAACTTGTGGAGAAAGGTTTGTATGAACGAAGTACTGTGAATGAATTGAGAAAGTGATTTTGCTTCATACTCCCGTGTCTGATGTCGTTGGGGAAGCTGGACGAAGTTTATGCTGCTGCTGTTGTGCAGAAATGTAAGAATAAAACTTCTGTTTGCTTTCAGAATGGGAATCCGCAATAAGAATTGGAGTGCTAGATTGTGGTGCTGAAGTAAACTATGAAGTTTGTAAAGAGTATGGAATTCAGTACTATCCAACTTTCAGGGTAAGTAGCTTCACGCCTGAAGATGAATTATTTCTGTTCTTATTAGATGAGCCCCCCCCCATCATACCTCACAAATAAATTATGGTGACCCTATGACCTGCATACCGGCCACCCTGCTTCCCGTGTGTTAAGAACATGACATCTCAACGAACTTTATTTACTCAATTGACTCTCCTTAGTAGATGTCCCCTCCTGTTGGTTATGTTGACTTGCACTGTTTTATCTGCCTTGAGTTTCAGTGAGACAGGCACACGGTACATAACTTAAATCATTGTATTGTCCAGGCTGCCAGTCAAGACATGCCTCACCAGCGCTGCTCCTTGTGCCCCTGCCTTCAGGGGCGAGGCCGGTGGCCGTCAGAAAGCAGGCTTGCTCTGTAGCAGCACTTTGCCTGGAGGGTGCCCTGGGGCTTACCTTGTGCCTGTGTTGCTTTCTTTTAAGTGCCAGCTAAAACATTTCTGCCCTCCCAGGCTTTTGATTGAGTGGTTACTTTTTTCTTAACACTATTTTAATTTGGAAACTTACTTTAAGCTGTCTGATCTGTTTTTACAGTCTGTTTTTATATTGGGCTTTTTTGTGTGTAAACAATGCCGGATTTTAATATTTTGGAATCTATTTTTATTTTGCAAACAAAGGACACCCCTTCCCCTCATTTTAGAAATATCTTTGGGGGGGTTTGTTAGCAGAGGGATTGCAGTGCCCTAACCTTGAATCCTGAGTAGTCAGTCATCCTCCGTACGCATCCTAACCAGCCATGCCCTGGACTGCTTGGATTGGAACCAACCTTCATTTTCCTAGGATTTTTGTCTCCAGAAGTGCCGCTTTCCTACCTCCACACTTCTGCTGCAGCCTGAAATGGGGGACCCCAGGAAGAACCGGGGGGGGGGGGTTGGGCATTCACTGCTTACTCCCATCTCCAAATCAGGTATACTGGTGGTAGGAGGGTTGTCGGGGAGGATGCAACATTGTGGGAGAATTTTTTTTAATGCATCCTTGTGTACTTACTGGAAGTGACAAAGGGCAGCTCTAGGAATTGCCGGAAACTTTACAGTAAAACCACAGAGTTTCTGGTGATTCCTAGAACTACCCTTTGTCACTTCCAGTTAGAATTTTCCTCCCACTGCTACTCTGAGCAGTGACAGGCAATAGAATCCATGGATTCCTGTCCCCAGTAGGGGCTTGTCAGCCCTAATACCCAGTATTACTATATTTCCAAACTTCTCCATGTGATACCAATGCCGGGCTTACTACTTAGTTCACTGCCTCTCCTGCGGATATAACCATTTCATGAGATGTTTTGCATTTAATGAGATGTTCTGTATGAAATCATGCCTCGGTTGGGGTGGGCAGGGGATGGAGCCGACTGAAAGGGAAACGGGGCACTGGTTGGCAGCAGTAGCTAGGAGGCCGGCGCCTGGCTTGGGCGTTTGTAGGACTGCGTGTCAGTGGGCCAGCAGTAGAGCCTCTACATTTATTTAAAAACAAAAACAAAAAAAACCCAGACTTCTGCTTCAATAATGAAAATGATGCCCTCCCCCCTTTTTTTACCGGGGTTAAATTAAAAAGTGCAGTCAAGTTGCAAAATGGAAAATACCAGGAACAGGCAATGTGATGTGAATGAATGTGCCCTGTCTGAAAAAGTGTGTGAGAGAAAATGAAGACTGTGTTAATACCCCCCGGTGGCTTCAAATGTGTCTGCACAGAGGGCTTTGAAGACAAAGATGGTGCCTGTGCTCCAGTTATAAAAACAGGTTAATCTGGATTTCAATAATTTTGGAGCTGCCATTCCCTTATTGGAGTCTGAATCTTCTAGAGAACTGCCTGAAGAACTTTCACTGCTTCTCGATTTGAAGATAAGTCCTTCTGGAGTTATCCATCTGTAGGGGGTGGAGTTTTTACACTAAGTTGACAGTTGAGATCGGAAG